GCTAACCGGAAGTGGCCGAAATTTTGGCTAGTTTGAGCTCTTAATACTCTTATTATAATTTGTAAGTTTCATTGAAATCGGTTGATAATGGTGGTCTGTAGCCGTGCCACATGAAATGTGTGGTAACCTGATATCTCGGAAACCGTTAACGGGAAGTGGCCGAAATTTTGGCTAGTTTGAGATATTAATACTCTTATTATAATCTCTAAGTTTCATTGAAATCGGTCGATAATTGTGGTCTGTAGCCGTGCCACATGAAATGTGTGGTAACGTGATATCTCGGAAACCGTTAACCGGAAGTGGCCGAAATTTTGGCTAGTTTGAGATATTAATACTCTTATTATAATCTGTAAGTTTCGTTAAAATCGGTTGATAATTGTGGTCTGTAGCCGTGCCACATGAAATGTGTGGTAACCTGATATCTCGGAAACCGCTAACCGGAAGTGGCCGAAATTTTGGCTAGTTTGAGATATCATTAATGTTATTATAATCTGTAAGTTTCATTAAAATCGGTTGATAATTGTGGTCTGTAGCCGTGCCACATGAAATGTGTGGTAACCTGATATCTCGGAAACCGCTAACCGGAAGTGGCCGAAATTTTGGCTAGTTTGAGATAATAATACTCTTATTATAATCTGTAAGTTTCATTGAAATCGGTTGATAATTGTGGTCTGTAGCCGTGCCACATGAAATGTGTGGTAACCTGATATCTCGTAAACCGCTAACCGGAAGTGGCCGAAATTTTGGCTAGTTTGAGCTCTTAATACTCTTATTATAATCTGTAAGTTTCATTGAAATCGGTTGATAATTGTGGTCTGTAGCCGTGCCACATGAAATGTGTGGTAACCTGATATCTCGTAAACCGCTAACCGGAAGTGGCCGAAATTTTGGCTAGTTTGAGATATTAATACTCTTATTATAATCTGTAAGTTTCATTGAAATCGGTTGATAATTGTGGTCTGTAGCCGTGCCACATGAAATGTGTGGTAACCTGATATCTCGTAAACCGCTAACCGGAAGTGGCCGAAATTTTGGCTAGTTTGAGCTCTTAATACTCTTATTATAATCTGTAAGTTTCATTGAAATCGGTTGATAATTGTGGTCCGTAGCCGTGCCACATGAAATGTGTGGTAACCTGATATCTCGTAAACCGCTAACCGGAAGTGGCCGAAATTTTGGCTAGTTTGAGATATTAATACTCTTATTATAATCTGTAAGTTTCATTGAAATCGGTTGATAATTGTGGTCTGTAGCCGTGCCACATGAAATGTGTGGTAACCTGATATCTCGTAAACCGCTAACCGGAAGTGGCCGAAATTTTGGCTAGTTTGAGATATTAGTAATGTTATTATAATCTGTAAGTTTCATTAAAATCGGTTGATAATTGTGGTCTGTAGCCGTGCCACATGAAATGTGTGGTAACCTGATATCTCGGAAACCGCTAACCGGAAGTGGCCGAAATTTTGGCTAGTTTGAGATATTAATGTTATTATAATCTGTAAGTTTCATTAAAATCGGTTGATAATTGTGGTCTGTAGCCGTGCCACATGAAATGTGTGGTAACCTGATATCTCGGAAACCGCTAGCCGGAAGTGGCCGAAATTTTGGCTAGTTTGAGCTCTTAAAACTCTTATTATAATCTGTAAGTTTCGTTGAAATCGGTTGATTATTGTGGTCTGTAGCCGTGCCACATGAAATGTGTGGTAACCTGATATCTCGGAAACCGCTAACCGGAAGTGGCCGAAATTTTGGCTAGTTTGAGATATTAGTAATGTTATTATAATCTGTAAGTTTCATTAAAATCGGTTGATAATTGTGGTCTGTAGCCGTGCCACATGAAATGTGTGGTAACCTGATATCTCGGAAACCGCTAACCGGAAGTGGCCGAAATTTTGGCTAGTTTGAGCTCTTAAAACTCTTATTATAATCTGTAAGTTTCATTGAAATCGGTTGATTATTGTGGTCTGTAGCCGTGCCACATGAAATGTGTGGTAACCTGATATCTCGGAAACTGTTAACCGGAAGAGGCCGAAATTTTGGCTAGTTTGAGATATTATTAATGTTATTATAATCTGTAAGTTTCATTAAAATCGGTTGATAATTGTGGTCTGTAGCCGTGCCACATGAAATGTGTGGTAACCTGATATCTCGGAAACCGCTAACCGGAAGTGGCCGAAATTTTGGCTAGTTTGAGATATTAATACTCTTATTATAATCTCTAAGTTTCATTGAAATCGGTTGATAATTGTGGTCTGTAGCCGTGCCACATGAAATGTGTGGTAACCTGATATCTCGTAAACCGCTAACCGGAAGTGGCCGAAATTTTGGCTAGTTTGAGATATTAATACTCTTATTATAATCTCTAAGTTTCATTGAAATCGGTTGATAATTGTGGTCTGTAGCCGTGCCACATGAAATGTGTGGTAACCTGATATCTCGTAAACCGCTAACCGGAAGTGGCCGAAATTTTGGCTAGTTTGAGCTCTTAATACTCTTATTATAATTTGTAAGTTTCATTGAAATCGGTTGATAATGGTGGTCTGTAGCCGTGCCACATGAAATGTGTGGTAACCTGATATCTCGGAAACCGTTAACGGGAAGTGGCCGAAATTTTGGCTAGTTTGAGATATTAATACTCTTATTATAATCTCTAAGTTTCATTGAAATCGGTCGATAATTGTGGTCTGTAGCCGTGCCACATGAAATGTGTGGTAACGTGATATCTCGGAAACCGTTAACCGGAAGTGGCCGAAATTTTGGCTAGTTTGAGATATTAATACTCTTATTATAATCTGTAAGTTTCGTTAAAATCGGTTGATAATTGTGGTCTGTAGCCGTGCCACATGAAATGTGTGGTAACCTGATATCTCGGAAACCGCTAACCGGAAGTGGCCGAAATTTTGGCTAGTTTGAGATATCATTAATGTTATTATAATCTTTAAGTTTCATTAAAATCGGTTGATAATTGTGGTCTGTAGCCGTGCCACATGAAATGTGTGGTAACCTGATATCTCGGAAACCGCTAACCGGAAGTGGCCGAAATTTTGGCTAGTTTGAGATAATAATACTCTTATTATAATCTGTAAGTTTCATTGAAATCGGTTGATAATTGTGGTCTGTAGCCGTGCCACATGAAATGTGTGGTAACCTGATATCTCGTAAACCGCTAACCGGAAGTGGCCGAAATTTTGGCTAGTTTGAGCTCTTAATACTCTTATTATAATCTGTAAGTTTCATTGAAATCGGTTGATAATTGTGGTCTGTAGCCGTGCCACATGAAATGTGTGGTAACCTGATATCTCGTAAACCGCTAACCGGAAGTGGCCGAAATTTTGGCTAGTTTGAGATATTAATACTCTTATTATAATCTCTAAGTTTCATTGAAATCGGTTGATAATTGTGGTCTGTAGCCGTGCCACATGAAATGTGTGGTAACCTGATATCTCGTAAACCGCTAACCGGAAGTGGCTGAAATTTTGGCTAGTTTGAGCTCTTAATACTCTTATTATAATCTGTAAGTTTCGTTAAAATCGGTTGATAATTGTGGTCTGTAGCCGTGCCACATGAAATGTGTGGTAACCTGATATCTCGGAAACCGCTAACCGGAAGTGGCCGAAATTTTGGCTAGTTTGAGATATTAATACTCTTATTATAATCTCTAAGTTTCATTGAAATCGGTTGATAATTGTGGTCTGTAGCCGTGCCACATGAAATGTGTGGTAACCTGATATCTCGTAAACCGCTAACCGGAAGTGGCCGAAATTTTGGCTAGTTTGAGCTCTTAATACTCTTATTATAATCTGTAAGTTTCATTGAAATCGGTTGATAATTGTGGTCTGTAGCCGTGCCACATGAAATGTGTGGTAACCTGATATCTCGTAAACCGCTAACCGGAAGTGGCCGAAATTTTGGCTAGTTTGAGATATTAATACTCTTATTATAATCTGTAAGTTTCATTGAAATCGGTTGATTATTGTGGTCTGTAGCCGTGCCACATGAAATGTGTGGTAACCTGATATCTCGGAAACCGTTAACCGGAAGTGGCCGAAATTTTGGCTAGTTTGAGATATTAATACTCTTATTATAATCTGTAAGTTTCATTGAAATCAGTTAATAATTGTGGTCTGTAGCCGTGCCACATGAAATGTGTGGTAACCTGATATCTCGTAAACCGCTAACCGGAAGTGGCCGAAATTTTGGCTAGTTTGAGCTCTTAATACTCTTATTATAATCTGTAAGTTTCATTGAAATCGGTTGATAATTGTGGTCTGTAGCCGTGCCACATGAAATGTGTGGTAACCTGATATCTCGTAAACCGCTAACCGGAAGTGGCCGAAATTTTGGCTAGTTTGAGATATTAATACTCTTATTATAATCTGTAAGTTTCATTGAAATCGGTTGATAATTGTGGTCTGTAGCCGTGCCACATGAAATGAGACTTGTCACATGTGGCAAATAGTCTCCGGATTGTCTTACCACATGTGGCAAATAGCCCCAGCCTTTCTAAAAACCAGGGAGAAAGGGTGATCACTCGGAAAAAATATACTAATCCCGAAAGTAAACTATACTATGTCATGTGGACGACTTTACCAACGAATTCCTATATCCCGAAATTAAACTACGTCATGTGGACAACTTCACCAACGGGTGTGGATGACTTAACCAGATTTTTCCGTGTGGATGACTTTGCTTGTGGACGACTTGACTGGCATTCATTTGCAATATTTACATTATTTTCGTTCGTTAACGCTTGTCAGTGACCTGATTATCAGAAATGGTGAAGAGAGACCACTATACCTTGGGGTACAAAAAGCTTCTTCCGGCAACTAACAAATCAATTAAAAGACAAAACATAATCAGGACTGTCAGTATAAGATAGATAAAAAGTAAAGTTGGGAAATCTAAGGAAGGCAAGGTGAAAACGTAACAAAATCCATTTCACTTTCACGTTCAGTTCTTATCTCGATCACCAGGCGACAGCAAATGTCCTGTATCATTACCTTTTCTTGAATCTTTTTTACTTTGTGAACAAAATCCTTCTGCTTGGTCGTTTCTAAAGCAACATTTTCGGGAAGTGATTGAACATGGGATTTTTTGGTAATCGCCATCTTGAGCTCCACGTGCTTTATATTTTTAGCAACATTGTCCAGACATTTATCATTAACGTGATTCAATTACCCCTAAGTACCACTAGAATTTCCAGTCAACAAACTCGGTCGATGGTTGGGCTAAAATTTGGGAATAGTTTGTTTGACTGAAATAAAAAACGCACTAACTCAAATATGATTACATCGTTTTTTGTCTATTTTGATTATTTTCCCCCAAGTTCAAATCTGACAGTTGAAGTCACAACTTTATTGAGATTTTCCTTCCAATAGCAATCCCCTAAACAACGTGTTGACCTCTCTTTGCGAGTAAGGTCGTCATCTAGGGTTAAGGGTCAACGACTGACGTCATCAACTGAAAACAATGGCCGTACTAATATAAACAACTTGAATTAAGTCTGTGTCCGATGCATAAAACTGATGACAGCATAGTATCTAGTCGCTTCGGAATAAAAACAACCGTGTGGAGGGATTTATAGAGGAGTAGGCTACATGTTGTTATCTTAGTTACTGCCACCACTGCTTAATAAAGTCAAGCTTTACGTTTTTCCTCGTCATATTGAGCGACTGGATTATTCGACTGGATTATTCGACTGAATTATCTGCCTGATTTTTTTTTCGACCGGATTATTTGACTGTTTTTTCGGCTATCCCCGGCCCTAAATACCTATTTATCAGACTACTTTTGCCCCATAAATTGAACTTGAAACTATTTGGCAGGGGAGGGAGGTGCAAGCCCCCGGCTCTTTTACAGCTATGGCTATGGGTATGACTGAACTACTCGGTATTATCTTAGTTCACTGCAATTCCTGCTTATTATTGAACGGCTGTTTTTAACTTCTCATCATATAACTGTCAAAAGCACATTTTGTCAACTTGATCTGGTATGAAGACCCAACTTGATCTGGGATGTGGATTTATCGACAGTGATATTCGTCTAGTTTTATTGACTGAGATATTCGACTTGTTTTATTGACAGTGATATTCGACTGGTTTTATCATGGTATTATAAGGTCCATGGTTTTATCGACTGAGGTATTGGACTTATTTTATCGACTGAGATATTCGACGGACTGATTTTATCGACTGAATTATTTGACTCGTTTTATTGACTGAGATATTTGACTGGCTTTATCGTCTGGATGAGGCCACAATAAAATAGTTTTATTGACTGGGATATTTGACTTTTTTCGACAATAAAATCAGTCAAATAATTCAGTTGACAGAACCAGTCGAATAATTCAGTCAACAAAACCAGTCAAATAATCCAGTTGAAAAAAAACAGTCAAATAATCTAGTCAACAAAACCAGTTGAATAATCCTGGCGAAAAAACAGTCAAATATCCCAGTCGATAAAACCAGTCGCTCAATATTAAGTACCGGTGGCAGTGAGCTAAGGTAATATAGAATAGCCCAATCATGGTCGTAGCCAGGGGCTTCACCCCCCGCCCCTCCCAACTACTTTAAAGTCAGATTTTTCGGGCAAAAGTCTTATGATCTAGGTATTTAGTTGATACATGTACTAAACGGAGAGTAATGTTTTTGGCCCGTCATCTAAGTGAATAGAATCCTACATAGGCCTGTAGTCAGGGGCTGGGGGTATTGGACGAGTCAGGGTTTTTTTTGTGACCTCGTCAAGTCGAATATTTCAGTGTATATTTCAGTCGAAAAAAAGCAGTCGCTTGACTTGATGGTGGAGGACCATACTTTATGAATCACTAATTGGAGTGAACTAAGATAACAATAAGTAGCCTGGAGCCACGGTGGCTAAGTGAGTAAGACACTGGCTCGCTAGCCTGGAGGTTTGTTCCTGGTATTGGCCGAAAAAGTTCCTCAGGATTTTCCGGGTGGTTTCCCCCTGTCAGTGGGGCAGTCGTTTGGATGGGATGAAAAACCAAGGTCCCATGTACACATTGGCATGCATGTAAAAGATCCCCTGTATGGCATATGCCTGACTTTATTAGCTCAGTCGGTGCACAACAGTAGGACGTTAAAGCCCATTTTATTTCATTGAGTAGCCCTTTCATGCTCATAACACGGTTCCACTTTCAGGGAATGTATCTGGTCGAGTGTGTTCTCTAAGTATCGGAAATGAATACAGATTTTTCGAATAGATCTTCAACACTTTATTTCAAGAGCAAATAAATAACAGCAACAAGTAAACAACTTATATCTTCCTATAAATTGGTCCTCCAACTGGTACATAGGTTCCCTCAGCTGGTCTCTCCAACTATAATTCATCTTACATACATTTTTCTTTTTATATAAATTAGTTACTATGAAAGTATTGACATAAACATATAATTATTGAAGGATTAAGTCATTTAAACAATAGTAAAAGAAACTTAACAGACCACCCACTTTAGTTATTTAAATCGACTGACAAATTAATTGCTGTCTGCTTCTAATGACTAACCAAGTGAACCAAGATCAATAAGTAGCCTGGAACAACAGTGGCTAAGTGAGTAAGGCGCTGGTTCGCTTGCCTGAAGGTCGCGGGTTCGTTCTCGGTATTGGCGGAGACAGTTCCTCAGGATTTTATCCAGGTGGTTTCCCCTTGTCCGTAGGGCAGGACGGAGGGTGTGACAAAAACTACAGCTGTCTAGTCTTTCGGGTGGCATGAAAAACCAAGGTCCCATGTACACATTGGCGTGCATGTAAAAGATCCCTTGGCAGTTGGAATTCAATATATAAGAGTAGGCTGTAGCGCTACTGTCGGGGCAAAATTTCCCTTGTAGCACACTGTATGGCATATGCCCATCTTCATTAGCCTAGTCGGTGCACAACAGAAGGATGTTAAACCCCATTTCACTTCATTATGTAGCGGGAGTGATTAAGTGGGTAAGACGCCGGCTCGCTAGTCTGGAGGTGTTTGATCCCTGCATTGCCCGAAAGAGTTCATCCAGATTTTCCGGTGTGATTCCCCTTTGTCAGTGATGCAGGACAGAGGGCCTGACAAGGTTAGCTGTGTAGTCATTCGGATGGGATGACAAAACGAGGTCCTGTGTACACATTGGAATAAACCTAAAAGATTCCTTGACAGGTGGAATTCGATATAAGAGTAGGCTGTAGTGCACTGTCCAGACAAAATTTCCCTCATGGCACACTGTATGGCGTATGCCCGTCTTCATTAGCCCAACAGTAGGACGTTAAACTCCATTTCATTTCATATTATTAAGTAGCCCTTTCATGCTCATAACATAGTTCGACTTTCAGGGAATGTATCGCGTGGAGTGTGTTCTCTAAGTATTGGAAATGACTACAGATTCTTTGAATAGATCTTCAACACTTTATTTCAGGAGCAAATAAATAACAGCAACAAGTAAACAACTTATAACTTATAACTTCCTATAAATCAGTCCTGCAACTAAGTTGGTCTCTCCAACTACTGTATAATTCATCCTACATACACTTGTCTTTTTATATAAATTAGTTACTATGAAAGTGTTGAAATAAGCATATAATTATTGAAGGATTAAGTCTTAAGCCATTTAAAACAATAGTTAAAGAAACTGAAGAGATCAAACACTCTAGTTGCCAGCCTGTCATAATTTATATGGAGTGACAAATTAATTGTTGTCTGCTTCTAATGACTAACCAAGCATTAATGAATGTTAAAATATAGATTTGAAATTAAAAATAGAATTAAACAATAATAAAATAACATATGACCTATACATTAGTCATGTGTATCCACCTTAAAATTATTTCAAACAAAAACATGACCCCATGTTTTAATCATTAATACAATCAAAATCCTTATTTTTCCATTATTCAAAATAACATAATCTATAACTATTTTCACGATAATAATTTCTATTCCTGTACAAAGGATTCCTGCTGTAAGGCCTAACATGTCTAAATCTGTGATCTTGAGTCTTGACGGCTGGTGCATTTGGCACTAAAACTTGAAACATCTCGCATGGCTGCAACCTTTATCATGGCAATTGGCAGGATGACACCATTAACACAAGGTTATTAAAAAAAGATACATCGTTAGTATCCAGAACATTTTGAACACCCGCATCCTTTTTACTGGAGGTCACAGAAACCTGTACTTTTTGGGCACCCTTTGCAAAAAATTCCAGCTGTCGCTGTCTATCCCTTTGTATTTGGACAAAAGAACGATATTTCTTTTCCGGACTGGGTAATTAATTTTCTGAGAAGTCCTTTTTAAAGCCCATTTAAACCCCTGTTTGAGACTCCAAGACACTGATAGTTGATCAAGATTTCTTATTGCTGCTACTGCTGCTGAAGGAAGAATAAAGTTGATATCCACGCCTTCTTCTTCAATATATTATGTACAATTTGACTAGCAGGGAATGTAGCTCTTCGACGTGTGTTCTGTTAGGATCAGAAATGAATACAGATTCTTGGACTGGATCTTCAACACTTTATTTCAGGAGCAAATAGTGCCTACATAACAGCAACAATTAAACAACTTATAACTTCCTATAAATCGGATCCCCAATTACATGTAGTATATAGGTTTCCTAGGTCTCTCCAAGTAATGATTCATCTTACATAAATCTGACATTTTAACGTGGCCTCGTCCAGACGATAAAATCCCACACATATCTCAGTCGATAAAATCAGTCAAATACTTCAGTCGATGAAACCAGTCGGAAAAACAGCCCATTGAGTAGCTCAATGTTCGTTGCCATAGCTGTAGGAGCCGAGGGCTTGGGCGGGGTTTGGTCCTCACCCGTCGCAGGATATAATTGTACTTAAGTAGATACTAATATTGTCGGCCCCCACCTCGAAAAGAATAGTCCCTGTATATGACCATAGAAACGGGGTGTTGGTGGATTGGGAGGGGCCCTGTGCGTGGGAGCGAAAATACTAGTATCTAAAGTACATGTATCACTTAAGACTTGAAACTAGTTGGGAAGCCCCCCGGCCCCTACCCAATGCCCCCGGATCCTTCAGTTATGGCTACGAGCATGATTTGCTAATGAAGACGGGCCTACGCCATACACTGTGCTATGAGGGAAATTTTGCCCGGACAGCGGCACTACGGCCTACTCTTATATCGAATTCCATCTGTCAA